ACCCTAAACCCCTTAACCCTAACATGGTGATCTAGTCCTCCATTCCAAACGGGCTACTAGAAAAGCTTGGCTGCTGAGGGCTTTGGGTTTAGGATTAATCAGAAACTTTATCGTATTTGTGGTTAATGAGGAATAATGAGGGAAAATAGTCTTCCCTTCTTCCCCACCCACCTTAAACCCTAAACCCACTTCCCTTATTCCCTAATATTTGACGCTCCCTAAGTAACTGCAAGCCCGATAGAAATTGTCAGGAGTGGCACGACAACATGAACTGGGACAGGCTTAGGGGCCCTATGAACTGAAAACTATTCTCAGATTTGGGCCTAAGGGTTTGGGGTTTAGGGTTTAGTGAGTACGCAAGAAGAATGGTCAGAAAGGCTTAACAGTTCTCTCCAGGAATATCCCAGCGAACAGCAGGATGAAACCACTCGTAATAACACTGCGATCACTGGTGCTACGAAGCATGCAAGCTTTGCCGAAAGTACCACGCATCCTGCAATGGCCCGTCCACAACCCCTGAACCGACGTGGGCGCCCAAAGCTAAACCCTCATAAGACCTTTGTTTGCGTGATCGAGGCGCCCATGTCTTCAGCTTCCTCATGGTCCTGTGATGCCGAGATGGAGTAGATGTCGTGCTTGTACATGAAGGTGTCCTGAGTGTCTTGCCTGATCTGTTACCTCTGGGTCTTGCAGTCTTAGCTTCAGGTCTATTATCTGTTTGATTCCCCATCTTACTAACTTTTTACGCCCCTGAGTCCTAAGCACCAAACCCTAAATTTCCCTGGTTTTCGTTCATTATCCTTGCCGGGTGCGCCCTGGTCACTGAGGTAAGTCCTAAGGAGTGGGATGCGGCCCTGTAAGGTGTGTACATGAGCCAAGCGCACTACATCCTTGTTCGAGAGGATACTGTACCCTAAATCATACTGGGATTTATGCTTTAACCGCTTTAGCTTTTAGGCCTGCAGGTTTAGGGTCTAGGTCCTGGCATGATGCAAGGTACATTTTCAAACATGGGTTGTTGAGCCCTCTGGAAATAATCGAATACCATCTATCGCAATGATCGCTTGCCGGTTGGAATCTTGGGGGCTCTCTTGCAAACACTGCCCAATAGCCCTCAACTAATGAACATACCCTAGAACCCTAACACCTAAACCCTAAA